AGTAAGAGTGAACATTCGGTTCAATTAATAAAATGTATCGTTGAAAGCTCTGAGTTTGATGGGTTGAATTTTCGTATGTGTACTATAATTTGTCTCAACGTTGAGATTGAACGTCGTTGACGAGTAGATCGTAGAAAGGACGGTGTGAGATAATATATCATTTCCCTTGAAATAACAAAACATCAAAAGCATCCAACGCATAGGTTCGCCGGCATGCCTTTGCGTATGAAAATAAAGCTTCAAAATAAGACAAACATATCAAAGATACGATTATAAACTTATATGATATACTATCATTAAACACATACATAAGAAAATTCTCAATCTCGAAAACAACCCGATTAAGATCCAATTATCCAATCAAAGACAGCTTTTCAAAGAAGCTGTTTTTTTTCCCCGCAGCACGTATCGCATAGTTTCTAATGATACGTCTAAACTTAATTCGTTTACGCATTCATTCGCCGTGATTTATTCTCGGGATGATCATTCAGGGTGAAGTGTGCAAATTCGCCGCATGTCTCGCATAACGGACACACGCTTGTCGGCTTAAAGCGTTAAGGCGGATAAGCAGCCGCGACGAAAACGCGACGGGATTTCGCGCGAAACGGAGAGACGGGACAGGTCCGTCCGACTGTCACGTCCGGCACGCGGCATGACTAATTAATCCTGAGCCCTACAAAGGGTTATTTCGGTCGATCAGCCGGCGATCGACTTAGCGACTACTCTGACAATTATCGCGGCGACGCGACGGTCGGCGGGAAAAGCCGGTCGGCGCGGCAGCGCGATCTTTGCGTGGCCGGTCGATCCACCTCGCGGATAAATTTATCCTCGTTAATTGCGTCGCGATCGACCAATCGACGAGCCCGTGCCGCGCCATTGGTCCAGCGGCGTGTGCCAGTAACGGTAAGAGAACGGTACCGTAAGACCGATCTGGCCGGTTCACCGGCGATATCGATAATCGTCTTCGATGAACTCTTCGATGACCACCGTCTGCGGTTTTGCCAAGGACGAGTTGACACTTGCGTCGCGCTTTCGTAACTTTTACTCCCTCGCCATAAACAATATCGGACCTTGGGCACACCTTGCGTGATTTCCCATTAAAATATCCATAATATCAAAAAAATATTAAAAATGTGTGAGGGAGATTTTTTTTCTTTTTTTTTTTTTTTTTCTTTTTTCGGACGCAATTGAAACTGAATTCTTTTCGTTGATGTAACAGTTTATCGCGTTGGGGAAAACCGGCAAAACAATCACATGTCTCGAAGAAGATTGCTAACCACAATGGCAGATAATACGTTCTCAAGAATCACGAGAAGCTTAGAGATACGCTGCGCTAAAAATTGCCAGCTGATATCTGCCGGCGATCAATAGGGGATCATCTCCAGCATTCTTTCCGATAATAACAAACACACCGTATATCTTCGAGGAGTAGCAAAGAGAGAGAAAAGAGAAAGAAACTAGACTCGTTTTCTTATAATCTCGCGCCCGTCTTCGCGGAATTCCGAGAAGCATTATCAGACAAATCGTTATCAAACACATTCCGCAGATAAGAGACGGTCATTCTCCTCCTCTCCTGACTCCCTTCTTCGTTCCGACAGGATACGGTACTCGCGTAGGCGTTGCGAAAGAATTACAGGTGCGATCACGGACATCTCTATTGAAAACACCTATCATAGACTTCGCGTAGGAACAGTATCCTTCGAGGGAAGGAGCAATGAAAGAAGGTGCGCGAACACGTCAACGGCGATGTGGGCTTGACATATGTTGTCTCTATCGACGCGTTCGTTTGTCGTCCACGAGATCAATGTTTTCCGCACGCGACGAAAGAGTTAACGACATGCCGCGAATAATGGCCACGTGAACGAGCTGAATTTCCATTAATATCTCTCTTTCTCTCTATTTCTGGGGGATAGTCTCGATATTGTCGAGCTATTTATAAATGTCGTACGCAATATATTCCGCGAAGATCGCACCGTGCAATACAACAAGGCACGAAGAGTGTCGCTGAAAATAGTCATTATTTGTACGACGACAGTCTTTTTCCCGTTTTTCTCTCTACATCCCGTTTCACTACCTAACTAATCCTTAGGTACAGCGGCGGATCTGCTACATTTCAAATGTCCCGACAGTATCTCAGGCCGCATCCGCGCGTCTATAAACACGAACGGAAATATACTCTGCGCTCTCCTCGCTCCTGGCGGTTGCCCATTCAGAGAAGACAGCGCGTAGAGTGGTTAATTTCATTCACAGTTCGCACCCCCACCCCCGCGATCGTTTAATACGCGTGCATGTTTTCGGGGCGTGCGTGGACGGACGTAACTAAACAAACCGTCCTGTACTTATATCTGTCAGAGTCCAATTGCGGGGCGACGGTGGCAAATTTGCGCTTTAGATAAAGATGAAAATTCATCGTCTCTTCGAAATGAAAAACATCGCGCAATCGGCTTTATCATTGCATCAAGTTAAACGAAGACTTGTCGAAGGCAAGAGAGATCACATCCCCTGACTTGCAAAGATAAAATTATAAAAAAATAAAAAGAAAAATACCACATGTCGGTTAACTCCACTGATCGATTATAACGCGTCTCGATCGAGTGGAGATTATGTGGATCGTGTTGATTGCCTCGGATGACTTTGTTATCTCCACACTTGTAATGATATTTACAAACATATAATGCTACTCATTCTCTCACCTATCGGAACATTTTTCTTCTAAAGCAGCTTGAACGGATTTAAACACAACTCAAGCGAGATATTTCTAGAATTTCCTCGGAAACTGTTGAACAATTAGATAACATTGAAACATTTTTCTCGCGTTAAATGTGATTATCCTTCACGCTGATATCAAAGGCAGTCTTCGCATTAACGATTGTAATGATAAATTAACAAGATTAGAGAACGAATCGATTTTTTTAATTAAAAAATTCAGTCGCTTTATTCGGCTTATTTTAGCATACATTGTATTTTTATAAGTAGTAACTGTTTTATATATAAAGATTAATTCTTTCTTTCTCCCTCTTTGATTTACAGAACGAGTGTCGTTGCTCGCGCGAGCAGGTAAAAATCCCTTAAAGCCGCTATTGAAACGTGGTGCGTAACACGTTGCACGGAAAATGCGTCGGTCATCGCGATTCTTGCCATGATGCTCACCGGAGTCGACGTCCAGACGCGCGCGCATGTCGGATGTGCGCTTCATTGCAACTCCATTGCGGCCGTTCGCCTGTCTCTCGCGGGCATCGCGTACAGATGTACGCGAGAAAAGTAATCGAGGCGCATGCAACACGCGTGCACGCATATATATAGAAAGAGGTATAGACAGAGGTGGAGACCGCTGTTAAAACCAATATAGCAAAATACAACTTGATAAATAGCCGTCATTTGCGGCGCGAACGATGGCGATTAATAAAGAGACTCCGCGAAGCGCAGAAGCGGCTAATATATCACTTTATTAGGAATAAAAAAATTCGGAAAGATCAAAGAATACCTCTCGTGTGAAATATCATAACATATGATGACGATGGAAATGTAGCAAGTACGATACCGTGACGCGTAATAGCTTGTTAACTATCTTTTCCGCGAGAGAGAATGTAAAAAAATATGTTACCCCGAGGTAGACGATGTTACCCTCGCTCCGTAAGATTGATGTAGGCGCGGGTGAGGGGGGAGAGCCGTGCGCTCAGGGGGTTAATAAATCGACGGTCACGCGCCGTGCAATCAAATCCGCCGCGATCGGCCTCTGCAATCTAAGCGTACGCGTACATGAAATCGAGAAGAGAAGGAAAGGGGAGGTGGAGGACCGGGAAGCTGCCGAAATTACAGCTATTATCGCGATAGAGGTGAGAACCGGCCGATGTTTGCTTAACCCGATCGGAAATCGACGAGAGGTCGAGTACACGATTCCCTTCTCGCCCCCCCCCCCCCCCCTCTGTCCCATTTTTGGGGGGGGG